TGATGCTGCAGATCCCATGATAGAGTTTATAAAATGATTTATTCATTGCAAATATCTTTTGTAAAACAACATAAAAGATGATTATATGCATGCATCTCACCAGATGAAATACATAGAAATCAAATGGACACATCTATGGGAAGAGATAGTGGAAAAGCTCAATATCATCAGTTAAAACAAGGCCGGGGCAGACTGTGGAAGACACCATCAACTACTGATATGGAAGTTCAGGTTGAAGGTGAAGAAAATTAAACAAGTCCATGAGAGCCAAAACTTGACTGAAACGTATCCCACCTGAATTTAGAGATCATTTCAAGAACAGAGTTGATGTATTAGACACTATGAACTAAGCTAGAAGAGTTGTGGGATGACATCACAAACATTAAACAGGAAGAAAGCAAAAGGCCATTAAGAAGGCAATAAAGAAAGAAAAGACCAAAATGGATATCAGAAGAGATTCTGAAACTTGCTCTTCATCGTAGAGATGCTAAAGCAAATGGAAGGAATGAGGAAGTAAAAGAGTTGATTAGAAAGTTTCAATGAGCAGCTCGAGAAGACAAAATCAGGTATTAATAACGAAATCTGTAAAGGGAAGAACATGTTCATCATTTACAAGAACTGATAAAAAAGGTTTAAGCCTTGCAATATTGAAAGATTCTACAGGCAAAGTATTGAATGATGCAGAAAGCATCAAGAGAAGGTGGAAGGAACACACAGAATAACAGTACCAAAAAGAAATGGTCAATGTCACACCATATCCAAAGGTAGCATTTGACCAAGACCCAATGATACTGAAGGAAGAATTCCAAAGTATACTGAAGACTAGGAGTTGATGGAATACCAATTGAAATCTTTCAGCAAAGTGAGGTAGCACTGGAGGCATTTACTCATCTATGCCAAGAAATATGGAAGACAGCTCGTTGTCAGACTCCATATTTGCACCTATTCCAAAGAGAGGTAACCCACTGGAAGGTGGAAACCATCTGACAATATCATTAATATCAAAGACCTTCAGTATGGGTTGCTTGTAATGTAAAGAAGACTGAAGTTGTCAAAGATTTCATTTTGCTGGGATCCATGATCAACACTCATGGAAGCAGCAGTCAAGAAATTAATTGACAAATTGCATTAGGCAAATCTGTTGCACAAGACCTCTTTAAAATGTTCAAGAGCAAAGGTTTAAGGTTTGAGGTTTAAGGTACACTAGACCCTAGCATGGTATTTTGAATAGCCTTATATACATGTGAAAGTTGAACAATGAATAAGGAAGACTGTAGAAGAATTGATGCATTTAAGTTTTGGTGTATGAGAAGAATATTAAAAGTATCATGGACTGCTATAACAAACAAATCTGTGTTGGAAGAAGTAAAGCCAGAATACTTCTGTGAAGCAAGGATGGCTAGCTAGCCTTTGTCTCACATACTTCAGACATATTGTCAGGAGGGACCTGTCCCTGGAGAAGGGCATCATGTTTGGTAAAATGGAGGGTCAGTGAAAAACAGGAAGTCCCTTGACAAGATGGATTAGCACAGTGGCAGCAGTAATGGGCTCAAGAATAACAATGATTGTGAAGTTGGCCCAGGACTGGGGAGTGTTTAGTCCTATTGTACATAAGTTCTCTATGAGTCAGGACCAACTTGACAGTACCTAACAACAACAACAAAGTCATATTCCTCCATTCTGTAATATGGACCCATTTTGAAGTAAACTGTCAATGAGGCAAGATTAAGGTGGGGACTAAGGATTAAGGTGAACTAAGGAACCATGGTGGCAGAGTAGGCTTCAATTGGGTTGCTGACTGCAAGGTGGGCAGTTAAAATCCACCAACCACTCTGAGGGAGAAAGACAAGGTGCTCTATTTCTGTAAAGACTTACAGCCTTGGAAACCCTAGGCAGTGTTTCGTTCTGTGCATAAGGTCACTGAGTCGATACTGACTCGATGGCACCTAACAACAACAAAAGGAGTCCTGGTGTCATGCTGTGGGTTAATGCGCCAGACTACAAAGCCATTTGAACTGCAAGGTTGGCAGTTCAAGCTCACCAGTTGCTCCTTGGAAACTCTATACAGGGTTGCTACGGGTTGGAACTGACTCAATGGCACTTAACAACAACAACATGAGTCAGAACTGACTCAATGGCACACATTGACCACCATAAGTAGTATTAACAGGGAGCTGAGGATTAAGGTGTGGCATTGTAGGATAAGCACTAGACCGCTAACCAAAAAGTTGGTGGTTCAAGCTGTTCCTCAGCATTGACTCATTGGCACTTAACAACATACCATACTGAAAAAGTCAAACATTTGGGATATCTTTAACCTCTTCCTCATAGGGACCAGCCTTGTAATGATCCTTAAAAAAAAAAAAAAAAAAAAGATAGATTTATGCAACAGGTAACTTACAGAAACTCAAGCCAGATTCAGAGAAGGATATGGAATATTATTGCTGATGTCAGATGAATCTTGGCTGAAAGCAGAGAATCCCAGAAAAATATTTACTTGTGCTTTATTGACTATGAAAGGCATTCGAGTGTGTGGCTCACAGAAAATTATGAATAACATTGGTAAGAGTGGAAATTCAGAACACTGAACTGTGCTTATGCAAAACCAAGAGCTAGTGGCTGGACAGAACAAGTGAATACTGCATGGTTTAGTATCAGGAAGAGTGCATTTCCTTTCACCATACTAAGTCAATCTGTATGCGAAGCAGATAATCCAAGACACTGGACTATAAGGAGCATGGCATCAGGATTGGAGGAAGACTCATTAACAGCTTGCAATATGCAGATGACAGCACAACCCTGCTTGCTGAAAATGAAGAGGATCTGAAGCACTTATTGATGAAGCTTAAAGACTACAGTCTTCCATATGAATTAGACTTCAATATACAGAAAATAAAAATTTCTCACAATTGGACCAATAAACATCATGGTAAACACAAAGAATACTTAAATTGTCAAGGATTTCATTTTACTTGGTTCCACAGTCAACATTCATGGAAACAGTGACATGATCAAATGATGTATTGAACTGCTACAAATGTTCTGCAAAATTACATCTTAAAGTGTCAAAAAGCTACAATCACTTTGACGATTAAGTTGTGACTGAACCATGTCATAACATTTAAAATTGCCTCATATGCATGTCAAAGCTGGAAAATAAACAAGAAAGACTGAAGAATCCATGCCTTTGCATTATGATGTTGGTAACAAATACTGAATATACTATGGACTGACAAAGAACAGACAAATCTTACTTCGAATAAGTAAAACTAGAATGCTCCTTAGAAGTAAGATGGCAAGACTTCCTCTCACATACAAGAGAGCTTCTAAAACTTTGTGGGAAATCCATTATATTCTGAGTCCGTTTTTCCAGACTTTTTGAAGCCCCTTAGTACTTTGGACATATTATCAGGAAGGACAAGTCCCTGGAGAAGGACATCATGTTTGACAAAGCAGAGGATCTGTTTAAAAGAGGAAGACCCTCAATGAGATGGTCTGACATGATGGCTGCAACAATTGATCCAAACGTTGCACTATTATGAGGATGACGCAAGACTAGACAGTTGTTAGTTCTGTGGTATGTAGGGTCACTGTGTTGGTGCTAATTGCCCTGGAGTCGGTTCCAACTCATAGCGACCCTGTATAGGGTTTCTGAGGCGCAACTGTTGCTTTGAACTACTGACCTTGTGGTTAGCAGTTCAGTGCTTCCCTGTAGCGCGACAACAGGAGTCCTATATAAAAGGTAGGTGGTTTTAAGTGTGCTTAGTTGTAACTTGAATACAGTTAGTTGAACTGGACTCTTGGCGTGGCGCTGTAGGATCAGCACCGGACTGTGAACCGAAAGGTGGCGGTGGTGGTTGGTTCCGATTCATAGCAACCCTGCATAGTGTTTCTGAGGCTGTAAATCTTTATGGGAGCAGAAAGCCTCATCTTTCTGCCTCGGAACCGCTGGTAGTTTCGAACTGCTGATCCTTAGGTTAGCAGCCTGACTTGTAACCATTATGCTGCCAGACCACAAGGTTGGCAGTTCAAACCCACCAGCTGCTCCTTGTAAACCCTATCCAGGGCCGCTGAGTCGGACCCACTGGATCGCACTCAACACCACCTGTACTTACCTGCGGAAATTGGGCTGTTTCTGCCTCTGACTCACTGCCATTGGGCAACAGAGACCGTCTACTTTCGTATCAAGAGTCTTGTGCGCAAGTTGCGTCCCTAAAGGTCCATGACTCTTTTGGCCAAAAAGCACGGGCACTGTGGTTTGTAGTCCAAAAGAGGCTTGAATCCTGGATCTGCCACTTAGGGGTCCATTCACCCCCTCGGCCAGCTTGCTCATTAAAATGTGATGACAATATTTTCACCCTCTCATCACAGGATCACAGCGATGATTCTGCGTCAGGTAATGTACTTGGTGTAGAGTCTACAAACGGTGACTATTTAATAACCGCGAGTGTGTGAGTTACATCCCTGATTTATCGCTAAGAAAACCGAGGCTCGGAGATTCCAAATGCCAGACTAGGGTCACACGATTGAGCAGTCACGAGCCTCCAGGGGCCTCTGGTCAGCATGAACACCCCATCCGGTACAGTCCCGCCTGAGCCAGCCAGGACGGAGCGTTCTGGCTTGCAGCAGCAACCAATTCCTTCCGTCTTCCTCATATCCGGCGTTCAGGCCATAAGCTTTCCTTTCGGTTCCCAGATCGCACACCGGAAGTGATTCCCTACGCCAACACACAAGATGGCCAACCGACCCTTCTGCTGCAGTTTCCAAACAGCGGGGAAGCGGGCGTGAACCCGGAAGTTGTCCGGCTTGGCCATGGCAGCAGTTCGGAGGCGTGGCTTCCGGCGTCCCAGGCTGCTAGTCGAGGCCGTCTGGTCAAGCATAAGCTGCCACTGACAGGCGGTCCTCTCCTGGCGGCCGCGACTAGTACCGAGCGAGACCAGAGGCTACAAGCTCGTGTCCCTGCGTTTCCCGCTTGCGAGGCGCCAGGACCACGCCGGGGAATGGACGAAGGGAAGATGGACGAGAATGAATGGGGGTACCACGGCGAAGGCAACAAGAGTCTGGTAGTGGCCCACGCGCAGGTGAGGCTACGCACTGTCAGCGTGGTTCTGGGGCCCCTCACCCTCACGGCCCCGGGTTCACTCTGTGTCGGCCGACCGATCTCTAGTCCCTCCAGTTCCTCCCCTGGGTCGGTTCCCTCTTTCCTCCAGTACTCACTATCCGGTCGGTACTCACTATCCGGTGTGATCCAGCATCACTCCCCTCCTCTGCTGCTTCGGTCTCTTGTCTCTTGTAAATTTCCCCTCTCCTGGCTAAGTTCTGTGTCCCCAGTATCACCTAAGCCTGCGTTCGTTCTGCGTGCCCCTATCATCACCACCTTCCTCGCTGGGTAGGTTCTGCGTTCTGCTAGCATTACTCTCCAGTCGTTGTCGTGGCTCCACCGTTCCCACAGCCCGTGCCTTCCGCCCTGTCTGTGCAGCGCGCTGCCTCACGCCGTGTCGCTTAGCTCCCAGCCAGCCGGACTTCGGCGTGCAACCGGAGAGAGAAGGCAGATAGTGGGCCCATAAAGTATCCTCCGCAGCACTGAAGGAGATCAGTCTGTTGAGATACTCAGAATGGCTGTTCTTGCTGTTGAATTTAATGTGAGAAAGCGCTTCAGAAACTGTATTCCCTGACTTTAGTGATAAGGGGGCTTCCAAGGAGGTGAGTTGCGGAAGAGAAATTTATGGGTTTGTATGAGGGTATGTATATATATAATCTTTATGTCACGTTCTTTCATGTGACCATGCAGGAATGTGGCGAACTGAAGGGGGCTGGGATAGGTGTCATGTAGGGGTTAAGAGCAAGTGATGTATCCTAGCCAGAAGCAGGGATATTTGCTCCTTGGTCCTCTCCTGCTGGCTGAAACTTGTGGCACTATAGGATAAGCACTGGAGGGTCAAACTCACCAGCTGCTTGGAAACCCTATATAGGGTCCCTATGAGTCAGAACCAACTCGACAGCGCTAAGCAACTACAGAGTAGGACTAGTGATGGAACACTTTTGGTTTCTCTCGCAATTGCTGGGAAGATTAGTTGAGCATGTAACTTGATGAGTTAAGGCCCAGTGAGAGATAACTATCATCCCCCTTGGATGAAAGCAGAACTTGGAGAAGTTAAGAATCCTAACCTTTCAGACAGTTTGTGAGAGATGTGCAAGAGAAAGTGCAGGTACTGAACTTGAACTTTCCCCTCTAGTTTTCCCTGGCCTCTGTGACTGTGCTGGTGGTATTGTGTTCTGCCTTTCATTTTGGTACTCCTTAGTACAATTGTTAAAGTGCCATAGAGGTGATTCTTATAGCCACCCTGTATACGGTTTCCTAGGATCGACTGGTGGTTTTGAATGGCCAACCCTGTGGTTAGCAGTCCAGTGCTTATCCTACAGCACCACACCAGGACAGCTGGGGAACTAAAAAACCAAAACTGTCTGTTCTGTTTAGGATCTTTAGTTGAATTAGTAATGAACATGATTAACCCAAAGCTGTCTTTCTCTGTACAGTCTGCCTATTCCAATTGTTTTTCAAGGTCTGCTAAAGTGAGGGCTATTCCAATATTAGTTCTTTTTGTGGTCAGGTTAATGAAATGATTCCTGAATCCTTTCACAAAACAAAAGTTCATCTTCAACTCTCTTAATAGGTTGGATGGGGGTATTTCTGTATTTTCTACAGAACTAAAACTTATTTTAAGGAGCTCTGGTAGCGTAGTGGTTACGAATCGGGCTGCGAACTGCAAGGTCAGCAGTTTGAAACTACCAGCTGTTCCGCGGGAGAAAGATGAGGCTTTCTTCTCCCGTAAAGATTTACAGCCTCGGAAACCCTATACAGGTTCGCTATGAGTCGGAATCGACTCCACAGCACGTAACCACCACCAAAGCTTATTTTAAGTGGGGGTAAATGGACTAGGCTTCAAGAATAGTTTCAAGTAACAGAGAAAATTTCAGATGCAGAGTGAAAAGACAACAGGATTGAAAAAGTAAAGGCCGTTATGTATAGCCAGCCCTGGCACAGAGATTCCTTCTCCAGTCCTTGTTGAATGTGTGTTCAACCTATCCTGTGTGCAAGCTACTCAGGACAGCTGACCACTTCCCTTGTTGCATAGTTCCAGTTGCCTGTGGGGTATTTCTTTTTCTTTTGAAACTTCCTTATGGTAGGTAGGCTAGCATGGACTTAATATTATTTATTCTTCATTTTAAATCTAAATTTTATGTTTTGTGCTCTTTCCTGTGTGGTGGTTGGGGTTAGTTAATCATTTGAGGTTAAAGATTATATCATTAATAGCTTCATAAGGAAGCACTCCCACTAAGTATAAGCATTCCATTAAGATACAGACTGTTTCTGTGTCTTATAAAGGTAAGTTTAATCATGTTCCTTGGAAGTCAGCGGGGATATTTGCTCCTTGCTCCTCTCCTGTTGACTCTGCTCTGATCAGCAGGTTTGCTCTGACTATAGACTGAAAAGAAGGTGGGAATTCTGAAGACAGCTTTTCAATGCCCTCTTAGGGTTGTGTGCTCACAGGGTTAAGTGTGTGAGTGGGCTGAGGGAGGTGATGAGTAAGAGCTACAAGAATCGCCTCTTCTGTAGGTGCTGTAAGCCAGGTAGCCCACTACATGTCTAGTCCTGTTCCCAGTCAAGGACAGAATCAGGACCACTTTGCATTCAGGGCTCCCTGCTTTATACTTTCAATTCTGTCATATGTGGAATACACCTGCTGTTCCATATCACTATTCATATCCCACCTTATTCATTCCAAGGCCTTCAGCCAACTCTCTTCTGTGTAGGAAGAGCGTTGCTTTCCCTGAGAGGGTATCGTCTATTCAGAATTGAGAGGTTTGTAAAAAGGTGCTTGTTTTGTCCTCCTTCTTTTCCAGCATTAGAACATAACATATATTCAGACTGCCGGTCAGCAGACATCAGCTCCCCACTGTCCCCTGAGGCCCTGTGTTCTAGGAACTGAGAGTTTAGTTGGGAAGATATGCTAGTGCACATCATGGTCCTCTTCTTGAGGCATACAGACATGGTATAAGGAGAGAGGCAGCTTTCTATGCCAGTGGGTCAGAAAAGACTTCATGGGAATCTGGGCCTGTGGAAAATGGGCTGGAGAAGTACATGAAGTATACAGTGTGGGAGGATAGACAAGGGGTGAGCAGTGAGAGAGAGTCTATGCTAAATGCAGAGAACCTGGTTCTAAGAGCACGAGTTTGGAGCTTTTTATTGACTTTTCTGGAAGATTGTTGTCAGCTGTGTCCTGCTCCTTCACCTTGTCTGCTGTTGGACAGCCTGATTTGCATTCCTAGTTTGCCTGATATCTGGCTTCTGTCTTTGGCTCCCATCGACGTGTGTATTAGCACCCTCTGAACACAGTTGTGTGGTTTAACCCTTTCCCCCACACAGTGGTTCTGCTGTTTCCTGGGGTTCTTAGCCTTGAGCTTAGCAGCCTTAAGTAGAGTCACTGATGTACTTCTCAGGCTTTCACCAGTTCAGGCACCACCCCAATGGGTGCCTGAAATAGCAGGTTCAAACCCACCAGCTGCTCCTCAGAAACCCTGTACAGGGCCACTATGAGTCAGAACTGACTTGATGACACTTAACAGTAACCCCTTGGGGTGTGTCTAGGGCAAGGGCATTTCCCTTCTGGGCAACAGACTTTTCTTACCACAACCTGAAGGCACTTGCACAGTTGTGTTTGTTTTTAGCTGCCACACCACACTTTTGCACAAGCTGAACTTCTGGTGGGCAGAGCAGCTATAAGGTCAGACTGGACTTCTCTCCTGCGTGGATGTCATTGCTACATTCACACTTGCCCTTCTTGACCTTGCTGTTGGTTTTGGCCCATTGTTTTAGCCTGGAAAGATCACTTTAAATCTGGTTTATCATTCAACCTCTTAAGTGACTCTTCTAGATCTGTGTTATTTGCTTTTAGGGATGTAAGCTCAGGGCAGGCCTTTTCAGTTTATTTCCTCTGTTTTCTGAGAGGTGTGGTTGCTAGGATGGTTAGGAAAGTGTTCAGGTCTACAAGACTATAGCTTGTGCCACTCTTTTTCTGTTATTTGTGTTGGGCTGTACCAGTCTGCATGTATTGGAGGAGCCTTTTGCTCTGTTTCTCTCCTACCCTCCTAACCTTAGATTGTTCATGCAGGTGTGCTTACTTTTCTGGTGGTCAGATTTTGTGTATTGCTTTAGGAGACATCTGAGTGCCTCTTCCTCAGAATACATTGTGCTTGCTGCTCAGTACTCCATTCTGGTCCCAGATCATTACTGTTGTCAGGTTCAAGTTAGTGTGTAGAATATTCTTTCACCTCAGTTGGACCATTCTACCCTCCCATCACCACCACCACCACCAACCCTCCCATCTACCCATCTCACTTCAGTATCACTGCTTTTTAATCCCCATGACAGCCCTGGGAGGGTGAGATGAAGCAGCTGTGGTTCAGGGAGTTAAAGTGCCTTGCCCAGGTTGGGCAGCACCTAGATAACTGCTGTCCCCATCCCATAGCCCCCACCTGTCTGACTGACTTGTTTTAACCTGCAGAGTACCAATTCTTTTTCCTCTTCCAAGCTGAGTCTTTATTCACATCTTCCTCATCTTTATCCAGCTTTATTTTAATTGAGGCATAAATTCATATTATCACCAAATGACTCCATTTAGAGTATCTCCTGTCAGAGACCAGTCCCAGCAATGCTGCTTCCCTGTTTTTCCAGTCTGCCCTGGCTCTGGAGGTGTGTTTCTGGTGTATCAATGGTGATCCCATTGACTTCAGCAGGATGGATGCTTAGCAGTGTTCTACCACGTCATTAATATGCCAGGGTGCCCAGACAGCTCTGCCCCTGTGATTATGACAGGGTCTGAGACAGGCCTCTTCATAGTGGGTGTTCAGATCAGGTCCAGCAGAAAGGAGTGCCTTCATGGTGAAGGTGACATTTGAGCAGTTCTCCATCTGGCTTCATAGGAGAAGCCTTCTTCCTGCTCATACCTGTGGATTGTCTTTATGTTTTCTGAAGAAGTGGAGCAGTATACATTTGGGTTCCCTTGAAAGTTGTTTGATC